TCCTGAGAGATGACCCAGCCAGGGCCCTAGGGGAAGGAGGGAGAGAGGGGCTTGGGACAACGGAGTCCTTTGTTCCCTTTTCAAAGAAGCCACCCTATCCTGCCATTCCCACCCCCATTCTCCACTCCTTTGCTAGGACTCAAGCCACCCTTGGGACATACGCACCCATCCTGCACATGTGGGGGGTGCTGGTATCCACCTAGAGGACACCTGTCCTATCTCAGCACTCATACAGAAGACAAGACCAATCCCTGGAGCCCCTAGTCTGAGGGGGAGATATCCTCCTTTCAGAAGCCTGTAGTCTGATGAGGCAGACACAGGCCTCCCGGGGGTGCCCATTCTGATAGGGTGGTGGGTCCTCTTCCCTTAGGACCTCCCAATCTGATGGAAGGAGAGTCATGAGTCTAACATGAGAAGCAGCACTTCCATGATGAGAATTCCTTGATGGGAAAAACATAACTTCAGCCCAGGAGGTCCCTGGGCTAACAGCAGAGGCAAGAGGGCAGGAAAGAGTTCAGTCCAATTCAGCAAAGCTCTTCCAGACTCCCCATGAACCAGACTTAGAGGTGGATGGTGTGCCGACACACAGAAAACAGAAATGGTCCAAACAAAAAAGAGCTCGCTAACTGGGGAGTGAAGACCCTCTGAGGTGTGAATGAATAAGAAACACCAAGACACCCACTCAATCCTGCATCCAGGGTCTGCAGGCCAATGTTGCCCATCCCACCACCACCATCCTACAGCCTCACCCCTCCCACTCCTGTACTTGAGCCTGTGTCTGCACCTTGGTGTGTGCTCTTTCTTCTGTCTAGAACACCCTCCTCCTACCTAGGCCTTCCTCATGATCCAGCATCCAGTTCAGGGTCACCTGCTCCAGGAGGCCCTTTCAAGTGCCTCAGCCAGAGTCAGAGAAGCCAGCACAGTGCACACCTCCTCCTGGGCCCAGCTCACACTCCACCCCTCTGCCTGGGCATGAAAGGCAGTGCAGGGCAGTAGTCTTCTGCCTCTGGATACAGGCAGAGGAAGGAAGGATGGGATAACCTCCCAGGACTATAGGCATAGTCCTCTGCCACCTGTAGACCAGCTATGCCTTCACTACCCCCACCAAACCACCAGGTCAACAACCACTGCCTTCTGGCTAAATGCAGGGGTCTTGTGGGTCCTGCCCTGCCTCTGTGGCTCCAGGATCCAGCTAGCCTCAGATTCCTGTCTCTTACCTCCATCCCAGGCACCAGTGCTGTCCAATCCCCAATAACCCTGGCCAGCCTCTCTTCAGATTCTCCACATCTCCCTACAAGGCATCTTCCACACACCCCAAGGCAACTACTAGCATCTGTACATGAGGACTTTCAACTCTGCTGCCTCACCCCTCCATCCCTAGCCGGAGGTCCAGAGCCTCCCTACCTCTTCCTCAATCACATTCCACAACTAACTGCCATGGCTCCCCGCCCCCTACACATACACTGCTGCCCCACCCTCAGACCTTAACCAGATGGTCAGCAGGGTCACGCTGGCAGCATTGGAGGATGGCTTGTAGAGGCCAAGAGGCCACTTGGGTGATCAGAATCCCAGTATGTTGTTCTTCTATTGCCCTGGAGGAGGCAAGCCCATGACTCAGGACTTCTGACCCCATTCCAATGGAAAGATTCAACCTCAGGCAAGGAGGCCCAGAGTTGGAAGGAAGACAGCCACTGGAGGAGTCTAAAGCCCAGAGACCAGCCTGGAATCAAGGACAGTGGGCCAGGTTCACTGCTACCGCACCCAGCAGCCCCAGGATCAGTCCTGGCCAAAGCCACAGGATTTCCCCATGTTCCAGCCAAGATGGGTCACACAGGGCTTAACCACCAAAAGAATGACAGCCAAGATTCCCAAAAAGCTGGTGGTTACACGTCTCCATCACAGTCAACCTCCTTCCCCCAGAAAAGAGTTCATAACATTTGCAGGAAAGCAAATTCTATTCCATCCCATTGCCCTCCTGTTGTCTAAATCTGATCCTTCATGTTGCCTACAGAGTTGGTGAGAACAGCAAGGTCCAGAAGGGACGCACAACTTGAGTCGGGGCTACCTGGTAGAAGTACAGAGTAGCAGAGAGGATTTTGTGGACAGATGACCCTCAGTTCAGATAGTTGCTGGCTGAACGTTGTGGACAAATTACTACATCTCTCCCAGTCTATTACCTCATCTATAAAATGGGAACAACAATCCCTACCTTCCTACATTATGGAGAGAATATAGTAGAATATAGTGAGATTATGTAAGTAATTCTAACACACACAAGACCCTCAGCAAGGTCCAATCAACCAGCAGGGCTGATGACTCCACCTCCTTATTCATATGCATATTCACAGGTCCATCCTGTCTGCAACCTTAGTTCTCACCTCACAGTCTTGGTTCTCAGGCTTCTCCTCAGCCTCTAGGCCCCTAGGCCTGCTTCTCCCATCCACTTTCAGGGGCACTGCCAAGAGGTACCTCTCTAAAAGGAAGAACCTGCCCCTGCCCCTTCACTGACTCAGGAGCTCCTCTGAACCACATCAGCTTTGGGAGAAAAATCCTGCTCCCTTAGCCTGACATTCCTAGGGTGGGGCTGACTGGCCTAAGGATCACCTGTCACCTCCCACTCACTCCCAGGCTACATATGTTGCTTCACATCACCAAGCCTTTGTACATTCTGCATTCTGGCCAGGCATGATGTCCCCAGTCCTACCTTCTATCTCCTCATCCTTCCAGATGAAAGGTCTGTAGCTCCAATGCCACCTTTTTCCCAGGACAGCTTCCTGCTGGGCCCCTGCCCAGGAATGGGGTAGGAACTCCTCTTAGGCCTCCCACAGCACATGTCACCTGCATTACAGTCACTTGCTCTGCTCTAAATCATCTGGGGACAGAGTGGACCCATTTAACCCTGGGCCCCCAGTCCTAGGACCCTCAGAAGGCACTCAGTCAACACCAGCTAAATGAATGTTCAACCGCTCCCAGAGCCTCATGTCACAGCAGCAACTCCATACTCCTAGCCTGTAACCAGTCCTCTCCAAGTGTTGGTCTCATCCCCTTTTTCACCTTTGACTCTGGGAGTTCCTAGAGTGACAATTTCTGACTAATTTTCATTGTCATTCTCAATTCCAGATGGGGGGATAGAAGTTATCATTCCTGATCCTGGGTGCATTGGATATTTGCAGTGTCCCCTTCCAATCATAAAGCAGAATCTGATGGTTTGTGGAACAAGATAGGTAGAGCCTATCAGTAATTTTGCCTTTCTCCTCCAAATTATGCAGGAACCTGTCTGGAAAGGGAGAGAAAGACCTCTTGGGGCTGCAGGGGCATCTAAGGGGGCAGGCAGGACCACCACAGTATAGAGTTTAGCCAGACCTTGTCTCCAGGCCTTAGGCAGCATCTCCTCCCATGCCCAGTGACTGTAGTAAACACAGAGAGAGCCATGAAAAATCTAAATATTGATAGCTCCAATTTACAGATGGGAAAGCTAAGGTCAGAAAGGCAAAGGCAGTTAATTGTCCAATGTCCCCAAGGTCCACCCATGAGTTAGAGGCAGAGCAGGGGGAATGGAGGAAAAAGCCATGGTCTCAGAGACAGAGCCATCAACCTGGTATCATCCTGCTGACAACCATGCCAGTAGGAAAGTGATGACACTTCTCCCCAAGTCACAGAGAGGCCCAAGGGGGCTGAGTCACCCTGCTCACCAGCAGCACAGGAGAACAAAGGAGAAGACAATGGCTGCTGACTCCCTGGTATGCTCTGCAAGGAGAGAAGCCTGACCTCAGTCAGGAGGGTCTTGGCTTTGTAGGGGACCCAAAGGGTGGAGGAGGATGTCACATACTCTCCTGCCAAGGACAGATACCTGGGTCACAGTGCTGGCCAGCCAGCTGCAATGGGGACTCACCATCAAGGTGAATGCAGACACCCCATGATCTACAGTATCCCCAGGATGGGCCTCCAACACAGAGCAGGGCATGCCTCCTGGCCTCATGCAGGGCCTGGTAGTGCCCAAGGGTGAGCCATAGAGAGCCTCTGCCATTGCCTCTGACCCCTCTTGACCTTAAGCAAGTCAGGTGACCTCACTAACCCTCTGGTTCCTCTTCAGAAAAACAGGAAGAGAAAAATTAACTCCTGGAGGAGCCGGTCAGGCAGATCGCTGGGAAGCCAGTAAGAATCTAAATTACTTGGGTGCCTCAGTTTCTTCTCCTGGGAAATGGGCATAATACCTGGATGCCCTTTCTCCTGCCATTGAGAGTCTTGGTTGGCAGTGGGTGAGAAATTTGTCAGGGGTCCCAAAACATGATGACCACAAGGGTAGTTTCTCTCTGATCTGTTAACTCCTTCATGGACGTCTCTGATCACTTGCACTATACCTAGTACCCAGCAGGAACTCAATAAATAAATGTTGGAAGAAAGGAGGGGGAGGCAGAGCAAGGGAAGGGAGGGGGAGAAGAGGGACACAAAGATAAGAGAGGGTAGAGAAAGAACACGGTGGAAAAGAGCAGGTGCAGGGGTGTCCAGAGGAGAGGCCACAGGTCTTACAGGGCAGGGAGGACCAAGGTAATAGGAAGCCAGCCAAGCTGAAGGCTTGGCCAGGCTTGTCTGGTCAGAAGGGCTGTCCCCAAGGGCTGCCCTACCCCCGTCCCTCCCCCTTTGTCCCAGTTTCCCATTGCAGAGTCCTAGTCTCTCCCTTTCTGAGACTTTCACTGCAGGCTCTAGAAGATGGGAGTCTCTTCCCCTTCCTCAGCTGGAAACCATTCTGGGCCAGCCCCTCCAGGCCTCAGGAGGCCAGGGGGAAGGAGGCAGAGTGGATGGGTCTTGCTTTTCCATCTTCCAAGGAGGCCCTCTACTCTGTGTGATGTGTGTCCCTACTTCTGACGTGGGGGACAGCAGGAAATGTGTCTGCAGTCCCTAGCCTGGCAGCTCGTGCTGTGGAGGGCTACAAGTCCCTGTGGGCCATTAGTCTGATATATGCTTGCAGGAGTGGGGGGAGGGTGTTGTTTAGCGCTGACCTGTTGTTGTCTTCAACGGTGTTGGTGAGACGTGCCGGCATCATGTCATCTCGATGAGGGTGTCAACATGTGTCTGCCAGCCAGCCACATGTACACAGTCCAAGTGACAGTGGATGTGTGCGTGCCCACATGTGTGTGCCAGCATAAGGGTGTGTGAGAGTTGGTTCCTGTTGGAGTGTAACCTGTGTGTGCTAACAGGACTATCAGCAAGAACGTGTTGACAGACGAGTGTGTGCCAGGAGCGTGAATGACGTCGTGCCACTGTATGTCACCAGTGTGTGGCAGTGGCTGTCAGTGTATGTGCCAGCATGAGTGTGCCCGTGTGTCCATACTAGCATGTGTGTGTCAGCCAGTCCCAGACTGTCCCTGCGTCTGCCGGCCAGTGCTGGGTGTCAGCGAGTGTGTAAGCGTGTCTGCGCCAGAAGCCGCGAGACAGATGCAGTGGCCTGATCCTTGCCCTCTCTGTACCCCCACCTACGATTCCTGCCAGCGACCACGTAGGAGACCTTGAGCAGGGAGTGGGGTACCAGGTCCCGGGGTGATCGCAAACGCAGAGCCAGGTCGCTGACTGGAACCCCCAACCCGTGCCCTCGCCTGGTCGCTCCACGCGCGCCCGGGCGGCCGCCCGCACTCACCGTGTCCCTTTGTCGCCCATGGTCCGCGGCGGCCGCAGGGAGGTCCGCGGCGTCAGCGCCCAGACTGGAAAATCCCCGGCCGGCAGGAGGAGCGCGGGCCAGCAGGCTCCCAGCTCCCCGCTCCGCCTCCTCCGCTCTCCCGGCCGCCGCCGCCCCCGCCCCGGTCCCCGCCCGCCCGCCCGCCCGCCGCCGGCCGCGCCGCGCCGCGCCTCGCCGCACAGCACCCGGGCAGAGGCCAGGGGCGTGGAGCCGTGCGGGTGTGCGCGCGTGTCTGTCTCCGTGTGCGTGTTTGCGTGTGCGCGCGCCGCCCAGACAGCCGAGGACAGGCGGCCGGACGCGGCAGGGCCGCGAGGTCGGCTTCTGGGATCTACCCGAGTGCGTGCCCGTGTGTGTGCGTGTGCGCGTGGGTGCACGCGAGTGTATGCGGGTGCACGGCGTGCGCGCGAGCCTGCCGAGAGTGTGTTTGTTGGAGGGAGAGGTGTGCACGTCTTTGTGCAGTTGTGCGTGTGTGCGAGCGCGCTCCCCCGCGCACGCCGGGGCAGCCTTTGTGTGTGCGGGTGGACGGCAGCAGCCGAAAGTCCGCCGACTCCGAGGCCTGGCGGCGCCCCTGCGTGGGACAGGCAAGAGATTCCAGAAGCCTGGCAAGGCCTTCGCCCCTTGCTCCACCCTCCCGGTCCCCACCCTCCACCCCCCTTTCTGGAGAGATAACACCAGACAACCCAACAAGGGACAGGAAGAAGAGGTGGAGGTCCAGCAGATTGCGACTATAGGAGATTGATGAGTATGGGAAGGGTAGCAAAGGCCAGCAGGGGCAGTGAGTAGCGGTCAGAAAGAGGAAGCTGTGAGAAGAGGAGATAAGGAAGGGGACAGAGAGCTGGCCGGCTGTGGCCCTGGGAGTGTGACTTGGCCCGCAGCATCCTGGAAAGGAAAGCACCCAGGCCAAGCTCCACAGAGCTGCACGACCTGCTGCAGGTGGCCCCGGACGTCAGCCACCTCAGAGCCAATTTGCAAACCTGTGAAGCCTGGGTACTGATTGATAACCAGCCTCAAACCTAGACACAGTTTGAAAGGACTTACTTGTGGTTGCTAGGCCCTTCCAGGGTGCCTGCGCACAGGAGTGCCCGGCAGAGGTTACCCCTCCCTCGTCAGGCTTCTCGGTGTCCTTGGAAATCCTGGCCCCTCTTAAGATCCTGAGCCCTGTTATAAGCAGCAGGTGGCTTTCTCTCCTTTTTCAGTGGGGATGAGGGTGATACCCAGAGGCTGAGAAGGGGCTGCTGTGGGTTCTGGGTCTTACTCCATTCTCTCCTACCTCCTAGCAGGATCTTTTTGTTGTTTGTTGTTTGTGGTACTGGGGCTTGAACTCAGGGCCTACACCTTGAGCCACTCCACCAGCCGTATTTTTGTGAAGGGTCTTTGAGATAGGGTCTTGAGAACTATTTGCCCAGGCTGGCTTCAAATCACAATCCTCCTGATTTCTGCCTCCTGAGTTGTTAGCATTACAGGCAACTGGCACCTAGGATCTTGAGCGGCCCTGCTTTGTCCAAGATCCCTTCTTGCTTTGCAGATAGTGGAAGAGTGCTAATTGGCCTGATAGGTCCCTAATACTAGAGTATTAATAGGAGGAAAGGAAACTATTATTTACTCTGATGCAATTGTGGGTCTAGAGAAATCTCCTGTAATTATGTTCCAAAGCAGTTACCTATGCTGTTTATGTAGAGTTGATAATAATATCCCACTATAATTACTATAATTATGTCCAGATTGGGGGGCGGTGGAGGCAGATTAGGCAGGCAGGGTGGTCCATGTCTGTGCAATGTTAAGAGCTAGGAAAAGGTGGATTAAGGCTCAGAACCCCAACCTCCTCTTCTTAGCCTTAGGGGCTCTCCCCTCACTCTTTCCAGGAAAGGAGAGAAAACTACCTGCTGCTTCTGCAGAATAAGGGATGTTGAGAGGAAAGGACTAGAGTCCTCCTTGATGGCAGGAAGCTTACTTTGTTAGCCAGAAAGGCCCCTTGACAGGGTGGAAAGCTGGATCCTGCCTCTCTTCACATCAGTTTCTCCACCTAGAAAACAAAACAGGGGTTCTACCAAACCAGGTGGTCTCCAACGGTGCTCCTGGTGCTGATGCCCAGAGCACCTGAATTTTAAATTTCAGGCAAATTCTTCATTCTACTCATAAATATTTGTGTTTATTTTGTCGTAACAAATAATGTTTTAGATTACTTCTGAGTAAAACAATCCAGAAAGATGTACCAGATGGTTCCAGGTACCCCGCCCCCACACCTCCTCATAGCTCTTCCCATTCCAGTTTGGAAAGCATGGCTCCAACAGTTAGGGACACTGAACAGATTGGTGGAGTCAACTTGCAAGATGTCAAGTACATCCCCACTAGCCTGTAAACTTCACGAGGGGGTGTGTGGCATGTCTGGCGCTCTGTGATGCCTACAAGTCTAGAAGATAAATGCTCTTTTCCCTTTTTAAAAAAATAAATGAACATAGCCACTTGGGAGGCTGCAATTGAGAGGACTGAGGTTCGGGGTCAGCCTGGGCAAATAGTTTGTGAGACTCCACATCCAAAATAACCAGAGCAAAACGCACTGGTGGTATGGCTTAAGCAGTAGAATGCCTGCTTTGCAAGCGCAAAGCCCTGAGTTCAAACTATGTTCCCAACAACAAACAAAGTGATACTTAAGGAAGCTAAGTAGTTTGCCCAAATCCATAGCTTCCTCTTGACCTTGGCCTCTGAACTCCCATCCTCTAGCTCTCCCCAAAGGGAAGTTAATACAGAGTAGAACCAGAATTTGACCCTTGATTTAACTGTTTATTCAATAACTGTTTAGTTGATGTGCAACAGGTAGTTCTAGGACTTTACAAATCAGTAGATAATCGTAAAGCTAGAGTGTTTGTTCCAGAGAGGGATCTAGGTGGGGGAAGAGGAGTTGGGAAGGGATCTTTGCTTTACCTGTCAGACTTTATGAAAAACATAGTTATGTATTCTTTTTTTTTTTAGTCAAAATTATAAAAACACAAAAATAGTAATATTGAGGCGAACTCCGTATGTCAACAGTGTAATTTCAGACAGTAGTAAGTGTTAGGAAGGAAATAAAACAGCAATAAGGAGGCATATACTTAGAAAAGGCTCTCCAAGGAGGTGACCTTTGGGCTGAGACCTACAGACAAGGTGCCAATGATGTGAGGGGCATGTCCCAGGAAGACTGCCCAGGCTGAAGGATCAACAAGAAACAATGTGGCTAGGTTTGGTGCAGTGGGAAGGCAGGTGCAGGTGAGACAGGCAGGGGCCAGATTACAAGGGGCTTGATGTCAGGGCTGGGCAGTGTAGGCACCCAGTTTAGGGAAAGGGCTGATGAGTTGCAGTCTCTGCTTCACATTTCCCAAGGTCACACATCCATTGTTGGATGGGGATAATTTGTACAAGACAAGAAAAGGGCCAGATGTGTCATTAGTACAGTAACCACAGTGGTGGCTTGGACTAGGATGGTAGCCCCAGAAATGAAGACAACAAAGGGCTCCCTGCTGTATTGGAGGTACAGCCAGCAGCACCTGCTGAGGGACTAGCTGTGGGTAATGGATCCAGGGCCACTCTGAGGTTTGGGGCAGAGTCCATTCTACTCTGCACATAGGCCACCTCCTTGTGGGTGTCTCTAAGGGAAATCATGTTTGAAAGGACTAGAGAGTTCTGTCCTTCCTGTCTCAACTCACTTCTAGCACATCCTCTGCCATGACACCGGAGTGACTGTACTAAAAGCAAATGGCTTCCACTACCAAGGCCCATAGGAGATGGTGGTCTCCAACCATGCACTAAATCAGATCTGTCATGTGTCTGAAATTTACCATTCATGATAAAAATGTATTATGTTAAAAAAATAAGAAAGCCCCAGCACTCAAGAGACCGACGCAGGAGGATCGTAAGTTCAATGCCAGCCTGTGATACACACACACACACACACAGAGAGAGAGAGAGAGAGAGAGAGAGAGAGAGAGAGAGAGAGAAAGGAAACATGATTCTTGCTTTATAGACTGAAAAATAAAAACAATAAAAGGCTCTAAGAGGAGAAGTGGCAAAGTCGAGGACATAGCAAATGAAAGACCGAAATGAAAACCTAAAGCTTGTGCTTAGCTGGTCAGATACTTGAGTGTCAGACTGCAGCAGAGGAATGAGTGGGTGGGTGAGTGGGTGGTGAGTGCTGAGCTCTCCATTGAAGAAAGAATTTGTGCTGACTGATGTGCTTGTGATATTAGAGGTTAAAACCAAGGTGCTTCCCTGCCTCTGCCCACCCAGAAATCTAAGCGCCATCTTTGACTCACCCATCCCTTGCCCACATCTATCTACATCAATCCAGTCCTGGACTTCTACCTACCATCTCCTGATCAGGCCAGGGAAACCAACAGGCATCAGGACTGCTGGGCCTGGAGGGTCCGGTAAGGAATTTGGTCATCCTGCAGAGGTGAATGAAGAGGTGTTAAAGGATTTAAGCAGAGGTGACATGCGCAGACATGTGTTTTGAGAAGATCTCTCTGGTTGTTACGTGAAGAATGGATTGGACATGGACCAGAGGGGGTGCAGAGCGGAAGATCAATTAGGTGTCAACGGTTCAAGAGAAGAATGATAACTGCATTCCAGGAAGAGGACACACAACAGCTGCAAAGCCAGAGAGGAAAGAAAGGGCATGACATTTGGGAGGAATTCAGGTGGACCTGTGGCCAAAGCATAGGATGGGGAGAAGACTAGAAAGGAAAATAAAGGAGGATTGGCATATCCTGAGGAATAGGCTCAGAAACGGGGCAGTTCTTCAACATGGCAGGGCTGTTTTAGGTTTGTTTGAGAACTCTAAGCCAGGTGCTAGTGGCTCACAACTGTAATCCAACTACTCAGGAGGTAGAGATTAGGAGGATCAAATTCAGAGTCAGCCTGGACAAACAGTTTGAAAGACACTATCTCAAAAATACCCAACCCAAAAAAAG